AGTCAATTCATTCCTCGTTTCTTCTCATGGTATCGAGCAGGTTCCCTAGTGGGAACGATTCCTAGGGCCCACCACCACGAAATTTTTTTTTCCTGCCCGGAGCGCGCTTCGCTCCGGCCCGAGTCGCGCCCTGTGTGCTCTCCCTACCGTCGCGCCCTCGCTAGGCCCCTCACGGCCCCGTCGCGTCGCCCTTAGCGGCCCTCTCACGGCTCCCTAGCGCCGCCCTTACGGCTCGTCGCGCCGCCCTTACGGCCCGTCGCGCCGCCCTTACGGCCCGTCGCGCCCGTCGCCCCGCCCTCACGGCCCCTTGTGCCGCCCTTACGGCCCGTCGCGCCGCCCTTACGGCTCGTCGCGCCCGTCGCGCCGCCCTCACGGCCCCTCGTGCCGCCCTTACGGCCCCTCGTGCCGCCCTTACGGCCCCTCGCGCTACCCTTACGGGCCCTCCCGCGGCCCCTTCGGCCCCTCCCGTCGCCAGTCGGCCCCTTACGGCCCCCTCGCGGCCCCTCGAGCCGCCTTCCGCGGCCTCCTCACGGCCTGTCGCCGCCCTCGACGGCCCCTCGTGGCGCCCTTCACGGCCTCTCCGCCGCTCTTCGCGGCCCCTAGCGGCCGGCAGCCGCTGTCCCTGAGGCAGCAGCCGCAGCCGTCTCTGCAGCAGCAGTCGCCACAGCTTCTGCGACTGCTGCCGCGGTCGTCACCAACCACACCAGCCGCCGAGCCGCCCAGCAGCCGAGCACCCGAGCCGCCGAGCCGTCCTGCAGCCGAGCAGCCGAGCCGCCGAGCCGCCGAGCCGCCCAGCAGCCGACCGCCGAACCGCCCGGGCCGCCGAGTTGCCGAGCCGCCCGAGCCGCCCGAGCCGCCGAGCCGCCCGAGCCGCCGTGTCGCCGACCCGCCGTCCTGCCGAGCCGCCGAGCCGCCGAGCCGCCCGAGCCGCCCTGTCCGGTAAGAGCAGCGCCTCTATCACTGCACTGCCCTTACCCTACTGTTCGCACTGCTAGTCTACTGCTGTCATGGCTACCCCTAGTGTCCTCGCCTTTGACGCTGAGGGTCGGGCCATTGACTTTGACGTCTGGGTAGATGACCTGCAGCTTTTCTTACAGTGCGATAGGGCAGACGGTCTCTCCCTCTTTGACCTCACCTCTGGTGCCTCTCCTGCCCCTGCTGCTGATGCCGACGCCACTGTTCGCTCACAGTGGGCCACGCGCGATGCTGCTGCACGTCTTGCTGTGCGTCGCCACCTGCCTACCTCTGAGCGTGCGCACTTTAGCCAGTACAAGAGTGCTCACACCTTGTACGACGCTGTAGTTGCGCGCTACTCCTCCCCTGCCACTGCTGCACTGAGCCGCCTCATGCTACCGTACCTCTTCCCTGACCTTGCTGCCTTTCCCACAGTCGCTGACCTCATTACGCACCTCCGCACTAGTGACACTCGCTACCGCGCTGCGCTTCCTGCTGAGTTCTGCGCCAAGAACCCCCCCCCCATGTACATCACCCTCTACTACATAGTCACCCGTCTCCCTGACTCCCTTCGCGAAGTCAGGGACCACTTCCTCTCAGTTTGCCCCACCACTCTCACCGTTGACCTCCTCGAGAAGGCCCTCCTAGCAGCAGAGAAGAGCATAGTCGCTGTAGGAGCCTCTCGTGGTGACCCTCGCACCCCCGTCTTTGAGGGGTGTTCCCCCTCCCCCCTTTTGCCCTCTGTTGCCTCTGCTGCTGCGGCCGACCTCGTTGGTCTCGAGTCGGTCGGCGCTGCGTCTGCCCCGAGCGGGAGACGCCGCACCGGCAAGGGCAAGGGGGGCAAGGGTGCTGGAGGGGCTGGCGGGGGTGGCGGAGGTGGCGGTGGCGGCAGTGGAGGGGGTGGGGGTGGTGGTGGGAGTGGTGGCGGGGGTGGATGTGTCGGTGGCGGCAGTGGAGGCGGAGGCGGCGGCGGCGGTGGCGGTGGGAGCGGAGGTGGCGGAGGTGGCGGCGGTGGAGGAGGCGGCGGCGGAGGAGGTGGAGCTGGTCGGGGTGGCGCTGCGCAGAGGGTCGGCTCCGGTGGTGGTCAGCGCCAGCAGCAGCAGCAGCAGCGGCAGCAGCGCACTCGTGACATCCCCCCCCCTCAGCAGCTCCGTGAGTGGTACGCTGCACGCCAGCGGGGTGGGGGTACTGGTCCGTGCACCTACGTCCTCCGCACCGGCGACCGCGCGGGTGAGCAGTGCGGGGGTGCGCACTCCACCCAGCGCTGCTTTGGCCGCCTGACGGACGCTTGGTGTCACCAGTTCCCTGAGGCCACTGAGATCCCCCGCTGGGGCGAGCTGTCTAGGGCGGGTGTAGCTGTCTTTGACCTTGACTTTGATGCTATTCTTGCTGCCATGTATGCTGTGACTATTAGTGATGAGGGTGACTGTTACCGGTATTTTCCGCCCGACCCGGGCATTGAGACTGCTGCTCTAGGTACTGGTGAGGCTGCTGCTCTAGGTGCTAGCGAGGCTGCTGCTCTAGGTGCTTGTGCGTCTGCTCCCTCAGGTGCTGGTGAGTCTGCTCTCTCAGGTACTGCGTCGGCTTCGGCCTCCCACACCTTCACCCTTGACTCGGGGGCTTCTCGCTCCTTCTTTCGAGACCGCACCACACTCACGCCGCTTGGCCGGCCAGTTGCAGTCTCTCTGGCAGACCCCTCTGGGGGTCCTGTCCTTGCTCACTTCTCCACTGTCCTCCCGTGTCCGGCGGCCCCCTCTGGCACCCTGTCTGGTCTTTACCTCCCCTCGTTCTCTACGAACTTGGTGAGTGGTGCTGACCTACAGGATGCGGGGGTTCACCAGTTCACTCCTGCGAGTCAGCGGGTGACCCACTGCACGGACGCTCGGACAGGCCGACACCTGGCCACGTTTACACGTCGGCCGGGGTCGAGCCTGTACACACTGACCACTGCGTCTCCTCCAGTCACTGCGTCTGGTCAGGTAGCTGCGTCGGGTCAGGTGTTTGCTGCAGCGTCCAGGTCTGGTCCTGAGTCTGCCCCCTGTTCGTGTCGCCTCCTGTAGCACGAGACTCTCCTCTGGCACCACCGCCTTGGTCACCCCTCCCTGCTTCGTCTCCGAGGCATGGCCTCCCGTGTCCTTGTCTCTGGTCTTCCCCGGTCCCTCCCTCCCCTTCCTCCGGGGCCCGGCCCTACCTGCGTCCCTTGTGTCGAGGGGCGGCAGCGGGCTGCCCCTCACTCCTCCCAGTTTCCTCCGACAGAGGCCCCGCTGCAGACGCTTCACATGGACGTGTGGGGCCCGGCCCGCGTCCGTGGACAGGGTCACGAGCGCTACTTCCTGCTGGTGGTTGACGACTACTCCCGTTACACCACGGTCTTCCCCTTGCGCAGCAAGGGTGATGTCACTGAGGTGTTGATCGACTGGATCCGCGCAGCTCGTCTCCAGCTCAGGCAGAGCTTCGGCTCGGACTTTCCTGTTCTGCGTCTGCACTCTGACAGAGGTGGAGAGTTCTCCTCTGGCCTTCTGCGAGCCTACTGTCGTGCACGAGGCATCCGCCAGACCTTCACGCTTCCGGACTCTCCACAGCAAAATGGGATTGCTGAGCGCCGCATTGGCATGGTCATGGACGTCGCCCGTACGTCCATGATGCATGCGGCTGCCCCCCATTTTCTGTGGCCGTTTGCGGTTCGGTACGCGGCGCATCAGATCAACCTTCACCCCAGGGTCTCCATGCCGGAGACCTCCCCAGCTTTGCTGTGGATGGGGAAGGTTGGCGATGCGTCTGCGTTCCGTGTCTGGGGATCTCGGGCGTTTGTCCGTGACTTGTCTGCGGACAAGCTGTCCCCTCGTGCTGCTCCTTGCGTCTTCCTTGGCTTCCCCCCTGACGCGCCAGGGTGGCAGTTCTACCACCCCACCTCTCGCCGTGTTCTGTCCTCCCAGGACGTCACGTTTGACGAGTCGGTCCCCTACTACCGCCTCTTCCCCTACCGCACTCCGTCCCTCCCCCCGCCACCGCTCTTCCTTGTGCCAGGTCCCCCCCCGGTAGACCCCCTCCCCCCTCAGGGTCCTGCCCCTTCAGGTGTGTCCCAGGTAGACGCAGTCGAGCCTGTCGAGGTTACTGGTGACTCTGGTGCTGCTGAGGGTGCTGAGCCTGGGGGTGCTGACCCTGGGGGTGCTGAGCGTGTGGGTGCTACGCCTGGGGGTGCTGAGCCTGAGGGTGCTACTACTGGGGGTGCTGAGCTTGGGGGTGCTGAGCCTGGGGGTGCTACTACTGGGGGTGCTGACCCTGGGGGTGCTGAGCCTGGGGGTGCTGAGCCTGGGGGTGCTACGCCTGGAGGTGCTGAGCCTGGGGGTGCGGAGCCTGAGGGAGCTGGGCCTGCTCGTGTGGCGTCTGGCGGTGCTGAGCCTGGAGGTTCTCCGGGTGCTTCGTCTCGGCGGGAGCCACTCTCTCCACAGGAGCTGCGAGAGTGGTTTGCCCGGCGCTGGAGGCGTGCTGCTGGAGCTGGAGGTTCTTCGACTGCTGAGGGTGCTGGTGCCGCGGGTCCCGGAGGTGCTCGTACTGGGAGTACTGGAGCTGCTGGGCCTGCGGGTACGACTGGAGCTGGAGCTGCTGAGGGTGTTGGCGCTGAGGCTACTGCTGTCGGTCCTGGAGGCGGTCCTGCTGGGGGTGCTACTGGTGCTGCTGGAGGTACTGGAGCTGGAGGTGCTGCTGGCGCTGGTGCTGCCGCTGGGGGTACTGGTGCTGTCCCTGCTGTGTCTGGAGTCGCCGCGCGGCCTCGGCCGTACTTCGTTCCGCTCCTTCAGCAGGTTCTTGGTCTCCCGCCTTCTACTGGTCCTCCTCCTCCCTTAGAGTGTCCACAGCCTGTCCCGTCCCAGTTACAGTTACAGCCGGCCTCCACACTGCCCGCTCCTTCTCCCTACACTGGTCCTACTGGAGGTCTGGCTGAGCGTCGTGAGCCTGCGTCTCGCCCTGCGTCGCCTGTCCGTCTTGCTCGCACTAGTGGCCGTGGTTCGCGTCAGCGTCCTCCTCCTGTCCCTGGCACGCACCGGATGTCTCTGCGTCCGTCCACTGCTCCTCTGCGTGCCCCTTTGCCTTCTCCTCCTGAGTCCTCTCTTCCTGCTCTTCCCGACCCGGAGTCGGACTCTCTTCGTGCTGCCAGTCCTACTGTCACGCGTCTCCTTGCTACTGTCGTCACTGACCCTTCCTTTGAGTCCACTGCTGCGTCTGCCCTAGTTGCTGAGCTCGTCGACTTTGCTGCTCGCTGTCGTCTAGACTACGCTGCTAGTCTTGTCGTTGAGTCTGAGTCTGTCTGTCCTCCGTCCGTCGGGGGTGAGTGTGCCCTTGGCACGGACGTCCTTGAGGACAGGCAGGAGGAGTTCCAGTGTTTGGCTGCTGCTTCACCTCATCTCGTGTCCGTACTGCTTACCCCTGAGGGAGACCCGGATGCACTTGACATCCCGACTCCGCGCTCTTACGCGGAGGCGATAGAGGGTCCCTACTCCTCTCAGTGGCAGGCAGCTATGGACACAGAGATGGCTTCCTGGAAGTCCACAGACACCTACGTTGACGAGGTTCCCCCGCCTGGGGCGAACATCGTCAGTGGCATGTGGATTTTCAGGGTGAAGCGACCGCCGGGTTCTCCGCCTGTCTTCAAGGCGCGTTACGTGGCTCGTGGCTTCAGTCAGCGGCAGGGAGTTGACTACTTTCAGACCTTCTCTCCCACCCCGAAGATGACCACTCTTCGGGTACTGCTGCACATAGCTGCTCACCGTGACTACGAGCTGCACTCTCTTGACTTCAGCACTGCTTTCTTGCAGGGCAGCCTGCACGAGGAGATCTGGCTGCGTCGCCCACCTGGCTTCACTGGGTCTTTTCCTCCTGGCACCCAGTGGAGCCTCCGGCGGCCAGTCTACGGTCTCTGCCAGGCACCGCGTGAGTGGCACGACACACTGAGGACTACACTTGCGGCCCTTGGGTTTGCTCCCTCTACTGCCGACCCGTCGCTGTTTCTGCGCACCGACACTTCTTTGCCACCGTTCTACATCCTCGTGTACGTCGACGACTTGGTCTTTGCCACAGCTGACACTGCTGGACTCGCCCACGTGAAGTCCGAGCTGCAGAAGAGACACACGTGCACAGACCTGGGTGAACTGCGCAGCTACCTTGGCTTGCAGATCACCCGGGACAGAGCACGCCGCACCATTACCCTGACTCAGTCACACATGGTGCAGCAGGTCCTTCAGCGCTTCGGCTTCACGTACTCCTCGCCTCAGGCCACTCCTCTGCCTACTCGCCACTTGCTCTCAGCTCTGCCTTCGGATGAGTCCGTAGAGTCGAGTGGCCCGTACCCAGAGCTAGTTGGCTGCCTCATGTACCTGATGACCTGCACACGACCTGACCTCGCATACCCCCTTAGCATTCTCGCACGCTATGTTGCTCCTGGGAGACACAGACCGGAGCACATGGCTGCAGCGAAGAGGGTGTTGCGTTACTTGTGCAGTACGTCGGGCATGGGGCTTATGCTTGGAGGGCAGAGTCCAGTGGTCCTCACTGGGCACGCAGACGCTTCTTGGGCTGACGACCAGGCTACGCAGTGGTCGTCACAGGTTTACACCTTCAGCCTTGGTTCCGGCTCTGTTTCGTGGCGGGCTACCCGCTCGTCTTCTGTTCTCGGCTCCAGTTGTGAGGCTGAGATCTACGCCGGGGCCATGGCTGCACAGGAGCTTCGCTGGCTCACCTACCTGCTGACTGACCTCGGAGAGCCGCCTCGTTCTCCTCCAGTGCTGTACGTAGACAACAAGGCCATGCTGGCCTTGTGTCGAGAGCAGAGACTGGAACACAGAACGAAGCACATTGCTCTCCGCTACTTCCTTGCTCGTGAGCTACAGCAGCGTGGTCAGCTGCGGCTTGCGTACGTGGCCTCTCACGCCAACACTGCTGATATCTTCACCAAGGCACTTGCGCCTTGTGATCATCAGCGCTTCTGTACTCAGCTGGGTATTGTGCCTACCTTGCCTCACTTGCTCACCCCTTGACCTTGTTTGTACTGATGCATATATATATACACCTGCTCTTGCCTGTCTAGCCTTATATGTATATGTAATCCTGCATGTGAACTGGCCTTGTGGCCTTGAACTTGTGCTCGGAATGTGTGGTGACTTTGTGATCCACCCTGAGCTTGCTTTGCTTTGCTTGACTGGTCTTGTGACCCCTTGTTCTCCCCCACTTTGCCTATGGGGGTGTGTCAGATTTATATGACATAGCTACTGTAGGCTATAGTGGGGTAGCCCATATGGGGTACAGTTTTCTAGGGTTCACATTTGTACCCAACTTTCCCTTAGTCAATTCATTCCTCGTTTCTTCTCAGTCGGAGGTAAACTCACCACCTCTGTCAGAGTGCAGACGCAGGACAGGAAGGTCCTGGCGGAACGTGCGGCGGGGCCGTAGACGAACTGCTCGGATCCAAGGGATCAGGACAGCAGGGACCTCACCCTTGGTGCGCAAGGGGAAGACCGTGGTGTACCGCGAGTAGTCGTCGACAACCAGCAGAAAGTACCGCTCACCGCCCTGTCCACGAACGCGGGCTGGGCCCCACACGTCCAGGTGGAGGGTCTGCAGAGGAGCCTCTGTCGGGGGAAACGAGGAGGAGTGAGGAGCGGCGCACTGCCGCCCCTCGACACAAGGAAGGCAGGGCGGCGCAGGCGAGGCAGGGAGGGGAGGGAGAGACCTGGGAAGACCAGACACAAGGAGGCGACGGTGCATGGCACGTAGACGTGGCAGGGAGGGGTGGCCCAGGCGGTGGTGCCAAAGAAGAGTCTGGTGCGACAGGGAGCGACACTCACAAGGGGAGGCTACCTGACCTGACGCAGAAACCTGACCAGTAGCAGCTACCTGAGGAGTCGCAGTCGTCAGTGTGTAAAGACTCGACCCTGGCCGACGAGTAAACGTGGCCAGGTGGCGGCCGGTTCGGGAGCACGTACAAATCGCCACACGCTGTCCTCCAGGGGTAAAGGTGTCAACCCACTGGTCCTGGAGAACTGCGTTGCTCACCAAGTTCGTAGAGAACGATGGGAGGTGGAAGCCTGTCAGTGAGCCAGACGGAACCGCTGGGCAAGGAAGCACAGTGGTGGACCGTGCAAGAACTGGGCCCCCTGAGGGGTTAGCCAGAGAGAATGCAACAGGTGCAGGGAGTGGTGTCAGTGCAGTACTGTCACGGAAGAAGCAGCGGGAAGCACCTGAGTCAAGCGTGAAGGTGTGCAAGGACTCAGCAGGCGCAGTACCTGAGGAAGGAGACTCGCTAGGACCAACAGTGAAGCAACTGTTTTATGTTTTCCTTTGTCTGTTTAGGACTTTGTATAAATGTGTGCTTGTACTTGTTCATTGTCAATCAATGCAATTACGCTTTTCAAAGCCTGGAATTCTACTACTACGTATTGACGAGAGTAGAAACGTAACGTGGTGCTGAAAAAACGTTGCTCGACCAGATTCCTCACTCCACAAATCAAGCAAGGCATAACTACTCACTTTGTATCTGTTATACCCTTGGCTATGAGGTGACAAGCTGTCACACTCGGAGGGTTCAAAGTGAAGTTAAGTGTTGCCAAGTTTGAGTTCGTGGTTAAGTTTTAAATGCTTCCGCATAGTACTTAGAGTCAACAGAACGTCGTACACTGTTAGACATAGTACTTAGAGTCAACAGAACGTAGTACATAGTACTTAGACTCAACAGCAACGCTGTGGCTTATCATTGCTAATATCGCGTCCTACCAGGTGCATGCTTCACCAATGTTGCCAACGCACATCTGAACTCCAACACGATTCCATTCGATTGCTCCCAGCGAATGGAATTCGTCTGTATCATGTGCGCTAGCACATTTCTTGCCACGCGAGGTTACCGTCGTCACTTTCCCGAACGGTCACATCCAACTGGTCTGCGAGATGCGCTGGTGGCAGCTTCACCAAAACGCTCTTTTCCAACTGGTCCGCATGAGGTGGTGGTTGCTTGCAAATTTTCGCTTGAAGTTTTCGTTATTTGCTGACCGTCCTGGTCGGTTTGTCTTGCTAGTTATGGAAATCAAACGCTGCACCCGCAGCCTTTTCGTTTTGTCTACCCGCAGCCAACTCGACTTCCCCACCCCCCAGGCTCAAAGCCCCAGAGCACTTCCCCCCCTTGTTCATCCGCCATCGTGTGCCTGTCCTTTTCAGCATACTGTTTGTCAGTCGATTGTTTCTGCTTCATTCGTTTGGTATTCCACCCTGCGTTCCATTCCTTGTTATATTCTCTAGTACCTGTCGACTGTAGAACTACTGCCACTTCACCCCTTTTGGCAGGTATTTCCATTGACTAGCCTAACGTACCGAGGGACGATGCTCCTGTTCAGCGCTCTAGTATTTCTTCTGCGCGCTTCCGCGTTCTCATTTTCTCTTTCTGCGTGGTTCCGCGCTCACAGTTAGTCTCTGCTCGTTTTCTCAGCGTGGTTTTCTCTCTCTGCTCGTTTCTATGTGTGCAGGTGAAGGATCTGCACGCATCCCTCGGCCTGCTCCCCAAAAGCGCACAGATTTTCTGCTCCGACTCGTGTGTGCGCCGATACATGCGCGCACGCAACTGGCATTTGCATTGCGTCGAGCACCTACATCCGTAAGCACGTACATGCATTCAGACGCAGGTCTGCACATGCGTGATCACGTAGTTTTTTAGTTAATTTCCGCTTTCCAACTAAGTATCTTCCGCTTTTTTTCCTTTTTTTCCGGCCTAAACGCGTTAGTGGGTCTTCATTCTCGCCGACTTCCACACGATTGTCGGTTTTAACCTTTCCCTTGTCCATGCGGTTTGTACCCTTTTTCCCTTGCATTTGTACAGGTTGTCTGCAAGTGTCACGGGACGCTTTGTGTCGGATATAGGGATTCTGCCAGGGTCCGTGGTGAGGTCATCCCCACTATCTTCCTCACAAGTGGCTCACTCCAGTAAATTACTTCAGGTAGTTTATTATCCACGGCTGTGAAGAGTTTGAAGGAAGGGTTGAAGCTGTAAGTGAACTCTCTTATTTGTTTTGATTTGTTTTGTTTTGTTTCGTTTTGATTTGTTTTTTTTTTTCTCTCTGACGTTGCTCTAATGGTGCAGCACTCTTAGTTCTGTACTTCCCCTAGGTGTCGTGGTTGTAACAGGAAGCTAGTTCCTTGATGCTTATTTACTGTGTCTGTGTTGTAATGTAAATCAAGTGTTGTGCACATCTTTTCATTGCGACAATGATGATTTGGATCGTGCACATTTTCAATGCTTTCGCTGTGCTATTCAAAAATATAATGAAAAGCATTAATAGCATGGGTGTTGAATTAATAAAAAATGTTGTTTACTAAAATAGCCAATTGCCAATGGTGTGCGGTTATTGTCGATTTTATACATGCCCATTGCACTATTTTCTACCCACTTTGCGCATTCGTTACTACTACAATGGTAACCTGGTAACACAACTTTGGGTGAGATTCTATCGTTCTATTTATCGAAACTATTGAATACCGCATACTGCATACTGCTCTCAGGACCAGTCGTCCAACTCTCCCGTCAAGTCTGTAGTCTCTGCACGGTAAGCCTCCCTCGGCTCTTGTCTCATAAACTTCACGGGCAGCGTGCCGAGTGAGCTTTCAGGGTCCCAATGCTGCACTCTGTAAAGAACCTTTTTCTGCCACGTGCAAATGGTGGCTCCTGCTCGGTATAACAGGTCCATGCCGACTATGACGTCGTAGTCTTCTGACTGGGACACTCCACAGACAACCCTGATGTAGCACTCCTCCGTCCCTGGGTGCAGAACTATCTCTATGGGCCTCTGCATCCTTGGCATCCACTTTGGCTCCCCCCCCTCTGCGGTCATGAGCAATATGCCTCTCTCTATCAGACTGCCCGGTAAGTCCAGCTTCAGCTGCTTCGCCGAGCCCTTCCCTATCAGTACGTAATATGCTCTGGTATCAATTATGGCTTGCCCCACTGGCAGCAAACCCACCGTCATGCTGCCCTTTTCCGCTATTAGCACCGAGGCTTGGCATACCAACCTCTCATTAGGATGCCTCCTCATCTCCGTGTGCCTCTGTCCTTCCCTTTGGCTACTCCTTGATGCTCTAGAGCTTTCTGCTTCCGCTTTCTGCGGATGGTTTGCCCTAGGCCTCAGGTTCAGATCATCAATCTCTGGGGAACGCCATGCATGGGTAGTCCTTTTTTTACTCGTTTTCTCCCTCCTCGGCTCCCTCAATCTCCTCATAAGCCAGCATAGCTCGCCCCCTTTGGTCCGGCTTGGGCCTCTTCTCTAGTTTCAGCTGCAGCTTCTTGATCTCGGCTTGTATCTCCTCTCCGCTGCTTGCTTCCTTGTATCTCTTCCAGCCGTAGCAATCCTCCCTCTTATGCCCCCGCCTTGCGCAGTTGTCGCACTTCGGCGCCTCTCGCTTCAGGTGATCCCTTTCTCCGCATTCGTGGCAACGACGACTGTCTACTCGCGCGGGCGCCGCCTGCTCTGCTTCGGTCATTGCTGCCGCTGCCCATGGCGTTTTGGTTTTCCCTCACGCTTCTTCGTTTTCTAGGTCTAGCATCCTCTGCGCGTGCTCTGTCCGCTTCGCTAGCCCATACATATCCTTTAGCGTAATATCCGCGCCGACGCCATATACTGTGTTCCTGACCACGCTGCGCAGATCCTCGTCTAGGCCTCGGACGAACTTGCGCACGAGCAACATTTCTTCCCGGCTTTCCAGATCCCTGCTAGTTCCCTCAACCTACAGTAATACGGCAGCAGCGACTCGTCCTTCTTCCTGCGGAATTCGCGGAACTCCTCTACTCTTGTTAGTTTGTCCGAGAAAGTCCCTTCTCAACAGTTCCAGGAATCGAGTCGTTGAATTCTTGATCTCCCCGCTCTCCAGCTCCTCCAAAGCATCTTCGCTCTCTGCCTCCCCTTCTAGTGTCACCACCATCCTACGGAAGAATTCTGCGGGATCTTGTCTGTCTCGTTCCCAGCAGTACCTTACCGCTTCCAGCTGCATTAGATAGTTCTTG